AATATAATCATTATACTGTATCTTTGGCTTATCATGTAATTGCTGTATGGTTTTTGAAATGCAGGCTTCCTTTTCGGAGAGAATTTGTTAAATTTATTACTACAGTATGTATATATAGTTAATGTCAATTAATTTCTTAAGATATTGATCAAAATTATTTTTATTTTTGAAAAACAGGGATTGAAGGCAAATGTGATAATTCCTCTTGAAGAAGGACATCTAATGAAATCTGATTTTAGTGTCATTAACGAAGATTCTTCAAACAGAAAACGTAGTTCTAGTCTGACTGAACAAGTAGATATAAAGATCTATTATAATTATATTTATATTTATTATAATTATATTCAAAATACTTTTTAATAATGTTAAAATTAAAAAATTTGTTATCACATCGTGTATATGCATGTGCATTTTATGTTTTTCACTATTATTTGATATAAATTAAACATATTTGTATGTAATATAATTTTTGTGTATGTATAGGGTAGTAGAGGTCGAAGAGAAAGACCAATAATGGCTAATCGAATGATAGGAGAAAGTAGAGCTTTAGACTTAAAACCTCCAATGGATGAAGGTCTAATGAATTTTCATATTGAACTTATTGAAACTTGTATTGATTTAATGTCTCGTTATACATTTTCAAATTATTCAGCACGGCCTAAAAGGTAACGAATTTTTTAATTTCCCTTAATCGTGATTACAAATAATTACATTGATTTTACAATAGGTTACCAGCTGCCGATTTTCTTTTGAAAGAAGGTCAGTCAATGACTTGGATACTTGGTAATAGACTTATCACAGTTACGACAAGTGGTTGTAGTAATAAAGCTATGCGTGGTGGACTTTGTGACAATTGTTGGGCAGCATGTAAACCTGGCTTTCTGTTACTTGATCACACAAAAACCTCTCACTCAATCTTACAACGTACTTCAAGTATTGAGGTATTTATTTATATAGTTATCTTTTACATTCAAATTTATATAATTATTTAATCTATTTGGAAAGCGAGACGAATTCATATTCTAAAGATATATATAATATATACGATTAGCTTTTTACGATATGTATAGTTGTGTGTAACAATATTATTCCTTACATTTTTATGCATTATACTGAAAATAGTAAATATAATTGCATTGCATATAAAGAAAAGACATAAGTATGACATACGTAATTATATTGATAGACATCGAAAGAAGATAAATTATCTAGACAATCTTCTGGTGGTCATGGAAGTTCAAATGCAAATACTGCTACAAATTCTCCTACGGAAGAATCTAAAAAATCTACAGAAGAGTCTGATAGTACGAAAAAGGAATTTCTTATGGAGAAAACTGACAAGGATCAAATTGAAACATCAAAATTAGGACAAATATTAAATAACGATAAACAAGATGGACATATATTGTGTGCTTGTTGGTGTCAAGGATGGGCTGAAATATATGTTCGTAGACCTACAGGCGATATGTCATGGATTATGAGGATCCAGAATTCAACACAATTTGAAACTCCTATGGATTTTCCTGTACATGACATTATGGCTTTGTATATGCCAAATCAAGATACAGTACAAAATAAACAACAGGAGGCTGCTTCAGAATTCTCAGATGATGAAACAGAGGTATTTCTAAAGTTAATCGACAATAAATCTTATTTAAAAAAGAAAGACTTATAAATATTATTTCTTATTACAGGATGTGCCAAACAAAAGTAATAATCAGATACAAAATGAACATATGAAACCGGTAATTTCGTCTATAGTATCAGGTCCAATTGCAATACCTGGTTCGCCAGCTCGGCCTAGTCCATCTCGGCAAAGTTCAAGAGACAGTTTAGAAAGTTTAGAAGAAGGTGAAGAAGGTATTTATTATATTATAGTATTTATTATTTATGATTTTCAAAAAATAAATCTAAAAAAATGGAAATCTTCCATAGATACGCGACGTTCTAGAAATCCAGTACGTCGATCAAATTCAAGTCCAGAAATGAGCGCTAATTGGAAAAATCCATTTTTGAATAAAGAAAAACTAAATGTGCAACAACAAATTGATAAAGATTTTACTTGCTCAGAGCTAGAGATTAAATTGGATGCAGAATTGAAGAAGCATTCAAAAAATATTTATACAAAGGACATGAGGTATATATTTTTTATTAAACATGTACATATTCATTATTATTATGTTTATGGTAGTTGGTAATAGAGAAAGGATAAAATAAATTCAGAAAATTACACACAAAGAAGCGTATTCAAATAAATTATTAAGCTCAAGCATTATATTCTTTTATTGAATTTTATTATAAAGAAAAATTATTTTTAATACTTATTTGCATAATTTATAGAGTTAGTTGCGAAGCTATACCAGAAGAAATATTTGGCATGGGAACAACTCCACCTTCTTCAGAAAATACTGGAGATCATCCAACTGCATTACGTTCGCAACGTTCTTATCCAGGAGCAACACAAATTACTCAAACTATTTCAACAACCAGTAATACCGTACCACCATCTCCTACAACTATACAGGTTGAAATAATATACTAATAAAGTATTAAGAAAATGACAAAATATACTTCTTTATGTAATGTGAAAATGATTTTAGGCACCAGGAAATTATTTAGGAATACAAACACGTCCTGCACAGATACAATCGTCTACCACAAAAGCGCCGCAATCACCTACTCAAATTTATTCTCGATTATCTAGTCTTGATTATAATCAGAAGCAAACTCCATTAACTGTTGAAAATAAACCACCTATTGGACGGACTCATATTGTAGATAAAGTATGCCAAGGAACTTTTTTTTCTCTTATTTTTAGTATATTATACAAATTATGACTGATCATTCATTTTAACAGAAAGATGAAAGGCCAGATCCATCTACATTGCCTCCTTTACCTATACCTTTTCGAGACAGAGGTCATACAATCTCTGTTATGAGCCCAGCTAAAAAATCACGAGACTGGGATAACATACGACGGGGCAATTCTCCTCGAGTAAAGGAACCACCGCGAACAGGCATTAATCCAAGGTATATTTACCGTGTATCTTTTTATGAAACTGATATATACATTTTTTCACATTTTAAAATGTTTTATTATACTATGAGAATTACTTCTCTTTTGAGACAAAAAATATGTTGTCCCGTTACAGTTTTGTATTCCTTCAACTTTACCATGCAGCGCATTTTGGCACTACCACAGAAAAGCCTTTATTGGTTCCACAGACAACAGCCATACAACGCGCAGTTACAAACCTAGATAGAATACAGCCGTATGAAACTCACAAAATTGGAGTACTTTATGTCGGCCTGGGTCAAGCTTCGAATGAAATTGAAATTTTAGCAAATCAACATGGTTCGCTTCGTTATACTGAATTTTTGAAACGTTTAGGTACATTAGTTCGACTAAAAGATGTCGATGAAAATATATTTTTGGGTGGATTAGATCGTAATGGTGAGAATGGAGAGTTTGCTTATATTTGGCAAGATGACGTTACACAGGTTTGTAAATAAAAATTACATATCAAACTTAATTCATCATTCCCTCGTGTGCGATTTTTAAAATAATTTTATTTGAAAAAACTTTCTAGGTAGCTTTTCATGTCGCAACATTAATGCCTACAAAAGCAAGTGATCCAAAGTGTACATCTAAAAAAACACATATTGGGAATAATTATGTAACACTTATATACAATGAATCTGATGAACCATATAATATACAGACAGTTAAAGTACGTATAAAATTAAACCGTCATAATACGTGTTACAAAATTTTGTTGTATGTGTGTATATGTATATAATTCTTCTACTCTTATGTATATTTTTAGGGTCAATTTAATTACGCCTGTGTTGTGATACAACCTTTAGATCATGGTACTAATCAAGTTACAGTACAAGCACGAGAAGAATTGGCTGAGCATATTGGTCACAGCGAGCCTAAAATTATTTCTGATCAAAATTTGGCTATTCTTTCACGGCAACTTGCTTTGCATGCTAATGTAAATATCATGAAAGCTTTTACAGAAGAATTAGTTGTAATGTGACATAATATAATATAATATAATTACAGCTAGCCTCAATGGTTTGTTCGTCTTTGAAGCATAATAGTCATAATCCATATGCTTCCAATTGGTTGGAGCGCTTACGTCACATCAAGCGCTTGAGAAGCAGAGTATTGCAGGAATACATCAATAATAATCCGGAAACTGCTACGGACGAATTATCACCGAGAACCAACAAACGAGTGTATATGGACGACTTCACGGAATATACGACATAGTTATTTGTATCATTTATAGAATAACACTATGACAAAAATATTAATGAAACAATTATATATTAGATCAAATGAATGCATTAACAAAATAAACGTGCATTAATTATTGTCAAAATATTTTAAAAGCTTACAAATTTTCCAAAATTAAATGTATAATATATTAGGTGTAGTAAAAAGAAATCCATTATTTTTACTACACCTAATATTAATATATTAAGAGGAATGATACTTTTCGTTAGAACATATCGCAATCTTATATAATTGATGTTCTTTGCTTGTAACGTAAATAAAAAATGGCAGTTTATCCTAATTTTCGCATTAAATTTTTTTTTAAGATAAGAGATTGAACATAGTCAAATTTGAACACTTATAAAAAATATATATATATATATATAATTTATTCAAATAAAAGATGAAATAATTTCAAAGTATGGCTACCAGGTAACTTTGAAAAGTTGATAACATTGACATGTTTTACACGTTCATATTTAGCTCTTTTAATACTAATCCCTTTTACACCGAGCATTTGATACGGATATTAACTTTCTATTAAATTATCTTAATTTCAGCAATGTATTCAAAGAATGATGTACTAAATTGGTACAATATGCATCAAAATAATTAATTAAATACATATATTATATATATGTTTACACATATCGCCGAAATTAAGAGCATTCAATAGAAAGTTAGTACCTACACTATAAAGTGCACGATGTAAAAGTCAATGTAAACTAGCCATTCGCGCGGCGCACCACACTTTGCTGATCCAGGTGACGGAATATGTCGAATAAATACTTATTTCTGAAATCAGGATTCCCGCGGGCACCTTTTGGTCTCGGGATCGGACGTTATGTCTGTCAGTTACAGAGAATAACTTTAAAGTTTTGCAAAAACCGTGGTACAAGTCAGGGAGTAAGGTGATTCTAACCTACATTTACTTGTAGATGTTTTCTACGCAATATTTAAAATTAATATTTTTCTTAAATCAATATTAAATTTTTTTTATAGAGGTTTCATAGAACATGATCTAATTAATTATGCAAAAGAAAATCCAGGAGTTGTAGTATATGTTAAACCAAGAAGGCACAGACAACCAGTCATAGTAGCCGAATATTGTACGTTTATATTTATCTATGGAACATTTATCTACATTTAAAACGTTATTAGTGTAGTGCTAATATAGAATATATTTTTCTAGTGAATGGCGATAGACAATGGATGGAGGTTGCTAATTATAGCCGGGACGATATTATAAAATGGATGGAATTGTTACGAACGCAGTTTCATGATGGTCCTTCGTTGAGATTGCGTAAACTATGGCACACGGAATTCCCATCGATTCAGGGACCATGGACACCATTTACTTTTAGAAATCCTATGTTAAACCTAACTCAGTTTCCTAATGTAATTATGTTTTTATCCAGAAACAATTTTTTCATTTTGTATCAAGATTTTTTTTATTTTATATTAAGAAATTAGTTATAAAAAAGTTATACATAACTTTATAAAATATATGACATATTTTATTTTATTTGTAGAAAGAGCTTGGTGCAGCTGTTAAACTTGATCCCACAGCAACGGAACAACTTGTTGAATTATTCAAGGCTCAGCAGTTGGCTGACAATGCAGTTAATGATTCCTGCCAAAATGTTGAAGAAACTTCCATACATGTTCAAAGGACATAATATTTTAAGCAATTTTAATACATTTCTAATTTTTAATTTATAGTATGTATATAAATATATATAGTATAAAAGATATTTTTGTAATATTTCATAAATGTTCAAAATTGAGACATAAGAAGTCTTAAAGACGGTTTTTTTTAAATCGAGATATAAGACATCTTTTCAAAAAATGTTTTCAAAAAATGTCTTTAAGTTGTATGTCTCGTTTTCGATCATGTGTGTTGTTATAATTAGAATTGCAGCAACCGAGTTCGCATTTGTTGGCAACTTGACGGTATAACAACTCTGGGCAATTTGCGAGCAATTTGTCTACAACTTTAAAATCATCATTATCAAAATTTGTACTAATACTGTCATATAATAATATACAATAATATACAAAATAAGACTGCTGTTATATTGCGATAATACAAGATAATATTGATGCAATTATCTTGCTATTAAACTATTGTTGCGATTGTGTTGAGACACGCTTTGCTGTCTCTTTATGTCATTTAGTTTTGCTTGAAAGTGATGATAAGTAGAAAATTCTTTAACAGAATTTATAGATTATTTGTCAGGATATAAACACTATTAAATAATATACACTCGTAGAGTAGTTTTAACAAATTTACGATATATGCTACATTGTATTATATTTTTTGCACATTTTTCACGTGCTAATACATGTCTGCATGGTAAAAATGTTATTTGTAGGTTTACATCATAGAAAATTTTATATAAATTTTTATCGTCGTATGATTTTTTTAAAACTAATCGAGCTTTAAGAGCTTTCGTTGACAATATTCTTGTTCTCATGTATTTGCATTTTCTCATATTTTATATTTCATAAATGCAATTAGTATATGAGAAAAGCTTTTTTAGTATTTTTATTGATTATCTTGAATTCATAGTGTATATTGAAAGCGTTAATTTTTTATATGTGCATATATGAAAATTTCTTATTATAAATCTTTTTTAATCTTAAAAAGAAAACTATCATAAAATGAAAACTAATTTAAAAGAATCCTGAAACAAAGACCGAACTTGATCATTGTTAATAAAACCATGGCAAAATAAAACCATGAGTAAACAAATTTAATTCCAAACTAAAAATATATCGATAAAAGAGCAGTAAAGTCAGAAAAGGTTCCTTAACAACTAATTAAGAAAAGGATAACGTGATTTTAATTCCGTCTGGATCCAGGTGTTGCAGAAACTCATCTCTAATGAAATTATCTTTACTATATCTTTTTATATCTTTTTAATTCTGTAAAAAAATTGCAATCTTTTTGTATTTTAATTCTGTAAAAAAATTGCAATCCGTAAGACCAGTTCGAAAATTATTTGCGAAATGAAATGCTAAAACAGAACGGCTTCAGGATCCCCTTACAAATTAAAATTTTTGCTAACTAATTCTACAAGATATTCATAAAATATATGAAAGATATAATATGCAATATATGTATATGTGTGTATATGAAAGATTTAGGATAATATACAAGAATCGTCTGGTTTTTTCTTTTGGAACTTTTTGTTTGGAATTCGCGCGTTAACCGGTGTTTCAAAAAAAGAATTGGATTTGTACCTTTCTTGTGAAGTACCTGCACTTGGTGTTTTCTGCAAAAGGAAATCGCGTTGCAGATATTGTATGACATTCGTTTACGCGCGTCTTATTAATTATTAATCTGTCTTTATTAATTATCATTACCGTCTGTTTAGGTTGAACATTTGCACCTCTATTACGTAAATCGAAAATTGTCCCACCTGGTTGAGTTAAATTCGTATATGAATAACTGTACTCTGTAATAATGTTTTTTTTTATTATTAGGTGCGCAACTAAGTTCTCGCTGTTATTTTGATGCATTTTCATCAAAATAACAGCGAGAACTTAGTTGCGCACCTAATATTTATTACCATTTAGCTCAATTTAGATAAAAAAGTATTCTTTACACTTTTATTATATAATATGAACACAAATAATTACGAAATACGCACGTGTACTTTTGGGCAAATGTGTTGAATAATTCGTTGTATTAACGTAATTTAAATTTGTTGTCGGAACATCAGGAAAAATCTAAAAAAACATTTTATTTATTTAATCTATTTTAATATGTAGTCAGGAGAGATGTATGAGGATAAAATACCGTTTTATTAATCGAATCCTTAGTTTTAACTTCGGAATCTACTTGATTATTCCATTTGTCATTATTCTACAACATAAAATTATCTCTGATATTTAATGTTTTAAAACAATGCCTATATTTTTATCCGTAACAAGCATCTTCACTTTATTTCTTTTTTGCCTTAAAATATTGTCAGCTTTTAATATCTTTTAATGTTGAAAGAAATATTTTCTGTCAAGTTTTTGTTTCAGTGTATATACGTACATAGTGATACAATGCATAAAAAAAATACATATTGTTAAAAATATCCTGTTTTATTAGTCATATATATGTAAATAGAATAAAATCATATCTTATAAATGCAACATTATCTTTGTTACATAATTATACATATACATATTGTTATATATAAATTATTTAGATATTAGTTATCAATATCTGTACATTATATCTTAAACATGCATGGAATACATGTATGGAACAAATTGTAAATAATGATGTTAATTTTATTTAGTTTTCTTTTGATTATTTACCTTTGGGTTTAATTTTATCTGTTGCGTTGTTGGATCCAGTAAATTTTTATTCATGCTCTACAATATTAAAGAACACAATATTATAGAATTATAATGCAAATGATTATAACAACACATTTTAATAATCAAGTTGATAAGTCTTCGATATTTTCAATCAATATATATTTTATCTTGAAATAATTTATTACCTTATTCATTTTAAATTTAAAACCCTTGCAGCATTGGGTAAAGTGATTTATATCACCACACTTTGTGCACTTCGATCCCCAAGCAGGACACTTTCCAAGTGGATGCTGCTCATCACATCTCCAACAGACTTTCTTTACAACATTATCTGATGGTTTTGGTGCAACACTTGAGTCTGCCCTCGTTTCTTTAGTAACTTGTTTCATTTTTTCCGTATTAATGTTGTAGTCGTGGTAAATTGCTACCAACTTCGGCAAATCTAAATTGTCTGCTTCAAAAAATTTTTTACGCAATATTTTGTCATGAGTTTCAAGAATAATTTTGTCTCGTATCATGCCGTCTAGCATATCGTTAAAGTTGCAATTTTTAGCTTTTTCCTGTAAATAACAAAGATTTCAATATATATATTTGTGTGTGTGTGTGTGTGTGTGTGTGTGTATGTGTGCAATATACAATAAAAATATACATCACAAATACCACGTACTTTTAAAATATTTATATATTGTTCAATAGACTCATGTTGCTTCTTTGCTCTTGTAAAAAAATTGTATCGTTCAACCACCTCTTTTTTTGGTGGATTAAAGTAGTTTTCAAGCTTTTCAATCAATATATCCATATTATCTTTATCTTCCACATTGTCAAAAGAAAAATTTTGTATTGCATCAATACCAACTTTTCCAATCCGATTTTTTAAAAGATTTGCGCGGATCTCATTAGGTTTATCAATATACCCAGTTAAATTCATGAATATAATAAAATCTTCTTTCCAGCTTTGCCAGTTGCTGGCCATGTCGCCATCTATTGTTAAAGGATCTGGAGCACGGGCGTGTACCTCCATGCTAAATGCAAAGCTTACTAGAAAAAAAAAATACAATTTTAATCTTTTTTAAAAATATAAACTTTGATTTATTCTCTAAATTTGTATCAAATTGTATAGATAAAAAATACAAAATAATTTTTACAAGATTTTTACAATAAATGTAAATACTCAAGTAAAAATTATAGAAAAGAATAAAATTCTTACATTGATATAAAGAAGAAAGAAAAAATTATCAGGCATAAAAAAATTAATGCTTTTTCAATTATGATAGGAAAGATATTAATAAATATTATTCATGTATATGCATGATAGGAAAGGTATTAATAAGTATTATTCATGTATATGCAAAGATTTTTCCGTTGTCTAAAAAAATGCTAACAGGTATAATAAAGCTTTTTATGTTATCATTTACGAAAACAACATTAAGTGCGCCAATGATACAAATTTACTGCGCCGTGTTTTGTACTTTTTGCATGCGCTTACTAAATTTGAAACTTATACGAACAATTAATTATATTATGTTTAATTTTACAATTATTTTATATTTATTTTTAATATTTAATTTTACAATTTTATTATTACATATTTAATTATAAAATTAATAAAATATATTAGGAATTTCTCAGCATTAAAATGATAAAAGTTATGGTAAATGTTCACTTTAGGAGAGGTCTCTCCAATCATCTTGATCTTGACGATGTTGTCAAGGTCATGACTTTGAGTAATCTCCAACAACTTTTAGCCGTCGCTCATTTTCGATTAAAAAGTTAATAACAAAAAAAGTTTGAAAAAATAACGTTTTATTTTGTCTATATATAATATTAAAAATTGTTCTATACTTTTCCTTGATTATGTAATGTTTTCCACGCGAAGGGAATTTTATCCCACCTCTCTCCTTGCTCTTAGAAGTCGTTTTCGCGTGGAAGTCGTGCGTTCCTAAAGCAGAAGAAGAGGAGGTGGAGTGAAACTCACATCATATGAACAGTCGTAAAATATATTTTAAAACAGAAAATTTTTATTTTATATAGCAGAAAGAGACATCATTTTTCAAACTCTTTTGTTAATAACTTTTTAACGAGCGATGGCTAAAACTTGTTGAAAGTTACTCAGAGTCACGACTTTGACAATTATAATATATTAAATTTAATCAAGACATTTTTTATTACTGAAGAACAATAAAAGAACTTGAAAATATATTAACCCTAGCTATACACACTGGGGTCCCTTAGTGTAATAAGTTGAGATTTTTTTGTTTCTGAACTTTTCTTTTTCTATACAATCATAAGAGTAAATTTTTTTTTCTTTGAACTAATGCATCTCGAAGTTCTTAATTCTACTGACTTTTACACATAATGAACTTATTCTTTAATCAATTCTCCATCGATTGAAAAAAAATTTATTGTCCATTTTTACGAAAGTTATAACAAAATATGGATGGTCCCAGGGATTCAAGTGTATATCAAGGGGAAAAAAATGTGTGTAGCTATAAGGTTAACTATATTTATTATAAGTAAGACGTATATTTATAATTATTTCTATTAATTTTATTATATACATATGCATATACAGGATATCTGCAAAGAGATCAAACTTATATGTTAATGAGGTTGAGTAGATGAAAAAAGTTTATATAAAACTTACATCCAAAAATGCTTAATTAGAAGAAGTTATAAATATTAAAAAATTTATGAGTATTATTCATTTACTACAATATTACTTCTTGCAAGTAGAAATATGCAAAAAAATTTGGTAACATTCCAAGTAGCACATGTTTTACAAAGCGTTACAAAAAGTGCTAAAACAGCACATGTAAAAAGTGCTACTTAGATAGTTTGACGAATGGTAGCCTGCATTCTTTCAGAGAAGATGTATTTTGAAATGAAATGAAAATTATAAAAATGAACAAATTCATTAAATATTGAATTAATGAAAATATAAATATTTTAGTGAATATGCTCATTTTAAAATATCACAATCGATTCCCTCTGAAAGATAAATATTTTTAAATATTTATTGACTATGATATTATTGATAATATCAATTATTACAATAGTTACAATAAATTCTGCTTTCATGACGAATTAATGGCTGCATTCAGCAGAATATTTATTTTGCAACTATTTTCTTTGCTGCAATAAGACTCATTTTCTAGGTAAAAGTATAATCCAGTGTAAAACTATAATTCAATCAGTATAAAGAAAACTTTCAACAGTTGCAAACTGTTAATTAAACATTCTACTGAACATGGCCATAATTATCAAATTCTATCAAATATTTCTATTGTGCTACAAATACAGTAGTAAATGTATATTCTGTTTATAAATCTTTGAGTTATAACTTTCTAATAAAGCATTTTCGGATATATGTCTACATGAAATATTTTTTCACACGTGTTGGTCATCAATGGCTGCGTTTAGCAGAGAAAGCTGCATTAGGGATTCTGCACAATAAAAGGAACAGAGAACAGAGAATAAGAATTTCAACCTATTAGAAACTGTATATTCCACAATACATGATTTCTGATAGGTTGAAATTCTTATTCTGTTTCCCTGTTCCTTTTATTGTGCGGAACCCCTTATACTGTACAAGTACTGTATAATATTGATTTTTGCACCTGGGATGCTATATTCTGTAACTTTCTGTATACATCTACCGATAGTTGTCCGATCGGTGTTTTACAAAGCTTTTTTATCATACAAAATATCTGCGCAAAATACATAACGACTCAACAACTATCGACAGGTGTGTACAGAAAGCTACAGAATTGCGTCCTTGGGTACACGAAATGCTAATTTAAAACAAAAATAGTATAAATTCAAACAAATAGACATAAAGTTCCAATATATATATTATAAGTATTTCTAATTTTTTAATGATATATAATTAAATACGCCATATTCAATTTTGCGATTAAATTATGTGTCTGGAATGACTCATTATAATTAATTAGCATACAATATCTACAATGACCATTCTTTTAACAAGTTTTTAATGTACTTACCTGATTGTTGAAAATAAGATTCCGCACTTGTTCGATGCAGAATATTTAAATAAGTATATAAAGCTCGGCCGTGAATAAAAATGAACTCGCTACTCTCCAGTCATCCGTCCTTGACTAGCGATGGCAGATAATAACAGACATATCAGATAACGTAATCATCAGTATTGTACCAACCTACGTGTGCATCAGTAAAATATTATTACACACGGGTATTCCCCACACACACACACATACACACACATATATATATATATCATTATGGGCGCGTCAAGTTAATAAAGCGGCTAGCCTCACCGAACAAATGAACATAATTGGTTGTTACTTATAGATCCAACCAATCATATTCAATCGCTCGGTAAGCATGTTTAATCGTTTTACCGTCTTAAACTCGCCATATGATATATAGCCTGTTTGTTTAAAGGTGCCTTTTCATGCAACGCTGAGAGTAACTCGCGCTAAAAGCGCGACTGGTGTTAAATATTCTGATTGGTCATTGCAATCACATGATTAGCAGCCAATGATGAACTTATTTCTGTGTACTAAAATGGCTGCTTAATGAATGATTGGTGGATTTCATAATCCATCTTGCAAACGATGCTATTTCTAGTATTTTTTCTAGTACTTTTGCGATCTTGACATCAGGTGGTCGCGCTTTTTTTATAAATATAGGACTCTAGAATCGTCAGCCTTTCTGTTTATTATTTCGATCACTATTTCAATTTAGTTGTCTGCAGTCCAATAAGCGTTTAATATTATTGGTATAGAATAGAGATCCTATAGTTCATCAGAATTCTAATTCTAAAAATTAGAAAAAGACAAAGAATAAGTTGAACTGAGATTAAAGTTAATCTACGTTGATGGAAATGGGCATTAATGATTTGCAAAGTATCACGTGATCGATATTTTTCTCTGATTGGCACGAGTAATTCGTAGTAGCAGCCATATTGAATTTATTATCAATGTACTCAACATTGATAGTAACTCGACTCCTATCGACTGTCATGGAATGAGGTTAGTAAACTTTTTCAATGTTTTTTCAATGTTTGAATATTTATTTATTATTTCATGCTTTGCATTGAATGTTACCTTATATACTGAATTTACATCCATCATTATCATGCCAACGAATTGCGTCGCATATCGCTGTAGTAATAACACTGTTGGGGTTAATAACACGGGGGAGAGTCGTTTCGCATGGAAAGTCGAAATCCATGTAAATATAATTATAGATTTCATTTTGTCTCAGAACCATTTTGTGATTGATTTCCTAATCTCAATAGTCGTCAACTTTAACATTTAATATCTCAGTTTGCGGGGCAGTGCGACACTTTTTCTGCTACATTTTTTCGTTTCATGCAAAAACGCGTTGAATAAGCCTAATTTTATTGATTTTTAAACTGCGGCATTTATTCTGTATAATTACTTATTGGGGTTTCTATAATAAGCTATTAATCATAAATCAGAAGTCAGAAGTTAAAAATTGACCAATCACAGTCATCTAACTTCTGATTTATGACTATGGCTTATTGTTGAAGGCACATATGGCCTTAAGGCTTAATGCCTGTATTCATAGTTAAGCCTTATATTTAAGGCTTCCTTAAATTTATTTTCAGATACTCTACGAATTATTTCATTGATACTGAGCATCTAAAGATAAATTTAAGCCTTATATACAAGATCCGACTATGAATACCGGAATAAAACATTTATTGTAGATCCAGACTAATAGCAGTAGTATAATAGAACAGCCAATTAAATTTAGCCCAAATTCATACTCCTACTGCGCATTCGCGGGAACGTTAAGCTGAAAACACAATGAAAAGCACAGGCAATAGGAACAGGGAATAAAAGATTTCAACCTATCAGAAATCCATTCTATTGTATTATTCATGGTTTCTGATAAGTTGAAATCTCTTATTCCCTGCTTCTATTGTCTGTGCTTTTCATTGTGTTTCCAGCTTTACAGCTTGTATTGGGTCATCTAAAAAGTATCCGCGGTACTTTGTCACTAGATATATGACCATCAACACACTTCTAGTGACAAAAAACCGCGGATACTTTTTAGATGACCAAATATTTTTACACCATTAATGCTCGTATTCATAGTTAGACTTAAGAGTGAAATCACACGGTGCGGAAAAGGGTTGCGAAATAGAGAATGTGTCATTCAAATAATCAAGCACTAAAATAATCAATAGCACTATTCGGAATAATGCAGAATAACACTGATTGATTGCTTCTATGACGCATTCTCTTTTTCGTACCATGTGATTTCACCCTAAGGCTTCCTTAAATTTATCTTTAGATATTCAGCAAGTAATGAAATAATTCGTAGAGTGTCTAAAGATAAATTTAAAAAAGTCTTAAATATAAGGCCTGACTATTACTCGTATTCATAGTCAGGGCTTATATTTAAGGCTTTCATAAATTTATCTTTAGATATTCTACGAATTATTTCATTGGCTGCTGAATATCTAAAGATAAATTTAAGGAAGCCTTAAGGTCTGACTATGAATACGGGTATAAGTGAATACGATTTTTATTCTATCCCTTTTCTCTCTTTATCTTCTTGTTCCTTCTTTATCGCAACATTATGTTGCTTTTGAAAACGAGCCTGTAGGATCTACAGGCATTTGCGCCGTTTGCGGCAGCGTTTGGCAATTTAACAGAATTTAATCGCGTTAAATGTTCGATTCATAGACTTGCGAAGGCTAAGCAAACTGGCGACACGATCGGAACAATTGGTAAATGAATGCGGTGTAGCCTCGTATGTATTGTAGGTACATGCATTCGCTCGTGGTTTATTCGCATGACGCCTGGCTGGAGCCGCTGGAGCACCGAGCAGGAGCAACACGAAGGCGACTGGCGGACAACCTGATCGGTGGTTCGTCGACGTGATCAAACGTGATGACGTCAGATCTCGAAGCATAGGCTGCATAGGCCGAGAAGGAACGCGTTTAAAGCCGAGTAGGGCGTGAAATCGTGCGCTCGTTCTTTCGTGCGTCGCGTCGCGTCGCGTCGGCCGTCGCGTCGGATGGAAGTATGTGCGAATAACAGCGCGCGCGCGCGGCCCTTTTATTCACGGGATAATTATGTTATTCGGTGCTGTTTTAACGTGATCGACAGTGAATAGTGTACCATGTTCCGCTGCATTCCAATTTTTAAAGGGTGTAACAGGCAGGTGGAATACGTTGACAAGCGTCATTGCTCTCTGCCCTGCGTCCCCGACGATATCCTGCGATACTCGAGGAGTTTGGAGGAGCTTCTACTAGACGCGAATCACATTCGTGATCTACCAAAAGTAAGCGACAAAGATCTTTCTTTTCGTCTTCCTTAAGCAGCTTTAATCTTCTTTTTCTTTTTCTACCTCGCACACGTACATGACAAACACGTACCATCCTCTTCCTACCGTTGTATCGTATATTTCTTAATGTATTAGTCTATCATTGCCGTACAAGGATTGTGTTAAACGTCTTATACGTGTGTCTGTCTCTTTTCGCTTTGTGCGAAAGCCAGTCGATGGAGAAACCTCTATCTATAGATCGATGTCGTGCTTCTTTCAGAATTTCTTCCGACTCCAGAGGCTACGAAAACTTGGCCTGAGCGACAATGAGATACATCGTTTGCCACCAGACATTCAAAATTTCGAAAACCTCGTCGAGTTGGACGTGTCCAGAAATGGTGAGAAGCATATTAGATTGTAATAAAAAAAAAACTAACAAATTTTTGCGGCTTTATTGCGCTCGAGATAACTGTAATACCGGAGCATGAACGCTAGGAATTCTAACAATTAATCATAATTAATCTTATTAGAAGAGCTTCATTAACAATATCTTGCGTCCTATACGTCATGATGTCATTTTTATCGTTGACACGAGTAGTTTCTTTTTCTTCGACTATGAAAGACGTGCTGGTCGGATTTGACTGTTTTTTAAGAGGAAGAAGAAGAAGAAGAGCGAGTCCATAAGGACATGAGTATTTAAGGAGTGATTCAGCGGTGAAGAAGAGAATTGAGTAAAAAGCGTAGCTGTCGGCTTGATCTATGAAGGCAAAGTTACTGAAAGAGAATCTCGTTTATCGTACTTTTAATACTGAACGCGGCAACGCCGTTGGCCGTGCGTTAATGAAACCTGTATAACGGTGTATTTTCTTTCGCTTCCTCTCGTCGTTGCCTCCACCGATCCAAATCCAACGTAGTCGCCGTAGCGCGTCACCATGCTACCGTCGCCACATCCACATCGCGTTAGCCCGAACTAAGCCGAGCGAAGCCGAGTCGCCCCGCCTGTCACTGGCGCCTATCGTGAATATTTTTTTTCAACATATTTATTTCTTATTTCTTTGTCGGTCTACCTGCCGTTGTCTTCCTCGCCTCTCTTGCTGAAAACCAAGGAAAGCTGATAAAATGAAGAATCTCACATATCACTATGTATTTGTAACACGGCGAGTTGATATTTTTGGGTCTCGCCAGGTAGAAATATATCAACTTGTTTACGCGCGCATATATGTGTGTGTATTTGTGCGTACGATGCGTGCATGTAGAAAGAATGTCGGGGAAGAAAAGAGGTGAAGCGGGACGAGACGATGGGAAGAGGGAGTGACATTCCGATTACGATAAGAAAAAATCGGTAATTTTATTTTAAAGATCACATACAGTGAATACAAAAAGTATTTGACAGAGAAAAGATTTTTTAAGAAAACTTTATTTTTAAAAAGTAAATATTATCCAGCGAGGAACGAGTCATCGAGTCAATATAAATTCGATGATTTCAATATCAATTTGACGTCGATTTGACGTTTAATTAACCTCATCATTTCTTGTTGGATAATTAACAATTTATTCATAAAGAATAAAATAGACTGTTTCTTGAAATTATATGTACCAAAATGATGTATTAATTATACAAAATATATCATCCGAAAAATAAGCGAAAATTTAAAATTGTATCATTTGAATGCTCAAAAAGTATTCGTACGAGAAATTTAGCTTCTAAAATCAGGAATACATGCGAAGCTCGTTCGTTTATATTAAAATATATTCATTTTATAAAATTGCTAATTAATGTTTATTTTCTACAAATAAGGCTTTTTTTATAATAAATTTCCTTGTCCTTTGCTCTCACTGTACACGGTATTTTTTTTTAAATAGATAAACAGTTTTTCATTCTTAAAATTTATCTGGGTCAATTGATACGT